TATATATATATATATATATACAAGGCTTATTTATATAGGACGATCACTTCTCACAGTCACAGTGGAACTCCTCTCAGCCATATATGTATGTAATCGCAGGCAGTCATATCCAGAAGCCGAACTACAAACGCACCTGCAATCACATCAGAGATTCATCCAGAAGTCCACGCACTATACAGGGTCAACTTCAATCATTCCTTGCGCTCATACCCCTCGCTTTAGCCATACAAACCTCACTCTTGTACAACTCTTCAAAATAAATGCTCAGTAGTTTTGTTAAATGGCCATTCAATAAAGTCCGGGTGAAAACGCAACAAAACAGTTCAATCACAAGACTAAAGCCTTTAGGTTGAGTGGCAGGGACGAATTGGAGTTGAATCGTAAACCGACGAATCGACAACCGACCTGTTATCAGTGATAACAGAAGGTGATCCTTATAGGATCAAGCTGAAGCTAATCCAAGTCCTGAATCGAAGTCCAACGAAAGTCTGTAACATAAGACAGGTCAATGCCCAAGCTAAATCATCAGCATATGGGGGATAAACCTCCATAGCACATTCTCACTCAAAGGTATCTGCCAACTAAGTCTAAGTCTACCTCTAAGTCAGTGCCCAAAGCAAAAGAAGACTAACGGGAGGATCTCCCCTATTCAGGGTGGATCGCCAGAATCGCCACGTGCCCAAATATAATCTAACTCCTCTAAATCAAGAAAATTTCGGCAACGCTTCCCGTAGGAAAAGTGCCTTTTCAGAATTTATATCTTCCCACATATGAAAACAAAATTAGTCTTTGACTTTCCAAAACCCAATTTTGACTAACTCCCTGAATTAACAAAAATTTGGGCAACACTCCCTTTAGAAAAGGAGACTTTTCAGATTTTTACTAAGTCATATATGAACTTTAGACAATCTGAACTTTAAAAAGTCAAAAGTCGACTAACTCTTTGGATCTGCAAAAATTTCGGTAGCGCTTCCCGTAGAGAAAGTAGCTTACCAAAATCTATACAAAGCCAAGTACAATAAAAAACCTTAGAAAATGCAAGAATCGATCTAAGTAAAAAACATTTGCCCAGAAAATGCAGGAATTGAACCAACTCCTATCGCTCTAGCACGTGGCGAGCAACTACAGCAACTACCTGTCAACTGAAACTCACACCAAGTAGTAGCCTCACTCAGCCACATGCAGGCCAAACCACAAAGGTAAGTAC